CTCTAGTACTCCTGACAGTAGGTAGCGCACAAAAATCATTAAATTTTTAGATCAGTATTACGTTTTTTGGTTTGAAGAAAATATTCTAAAGCGAAACCAAGCCCATATTCGCGACTACCATCAGAAACTGAATCGAATAATGGGTTATTCATTTTTCGACATACTGTCTCAGCAGAAAATTTCTACGGCACCGCTTCCATTCCATGATTTTCTTAGAACACAAAATTTAGATAACTCAAAAAGAATAAAAGATAGAGACTTACGGTTTTCATCATTCGCTACTCAAGATCCGAAGCTAAGTTTTCATAAGCAAAAGAGAATTTAAATAAAATTTCAATACGATTTTTCAGGAGATCTACGGGAAACTAGTTCGGTTCTCTGAAAATTGCCGTAGAAATATATGAATACTTTTACGTAGATATATAGTCCGAGTTGTGTTCTACAAAACTGGATCGGAGCGACATCTTAGAAATCGTTCGGAAGCTATGGACATTTTTCCTGAAGCTTTAGCACTCCCCTGCCGTTAGGTTTGTGACTGTCAGAAATGAATGAAAACATAGGTTATCGACTATGCTGAATCTCGTGGCAATGTTAGTGTTCAGAAAAAATAAAAGTGACATTAAATTGACATTAAATTCTAAGTGACATTAAATTCTTCGATGTGACTTTTTCTTGGTTAGAGTTTAATATGTCACTTGACTGGTTTAAAATATATAGTTAGAAATAAATTGTTCGTCAAAGGCCATAACTGTAGCTCAATAAATGTTCAAAACACGAACAGAAAATAGTTTGGTTTCTAGGAAGGTTTCGCAGAAACCGTCGGAACGAACTGAATATATTTTATTGATTTTACATATAGAATCAGAATTTGCAGATAAAATACAGTACTTGCTGACATTTTGAAGCAGGTTGAACGGATTTTGACTGAGCCCATCAGAGATATATAGAGAGAAGTCCGGGCATGAAATTACGTATTTTTAAACTAATTATCTCCTGGATTTGGCTCAAAACTAGTCGACGATTTTCAAAAGATTTTTATCATCATTTTAACATCGTTAGAACACGCGTTCAACAAAAACACTAGAAACGGTTAATTCAACGACCGTTAATAAACGCGTTGCTCACTTCTCTCTAAATTTTTCGCCTTTTATTTTTTTTTCTGTTGGCGTCCCTGGCAATCCTTCTTGCTGTTCTCAAATATATGGATTCGCAGAGTAAGCATTCCTCTTTCAAACAAGACGTAGACCACTAGCAAAAAAGATTGTTAGAAAGGGCACGAAAACGCGTTTTTCCGAACGCGTTAGCGAACAATCGGTAAAAGAGCCGTTTAATCAAAATTTGGTCAGAAAAGGCGGGACGGGCAACCGGATGTTTGTCGGGCGATCAGGAAAGAACGAATTTGTAGGAAAACAGTCAAAGACAGGGCGTCGAAAATCTTTGGAATCTACTTCATACCGATTCCACCGATTCATCTGAAACATTCCAACGTTTGTTTTATACTACAGTCAATGCTCTCGAGTCTTGTATGCTTTATGCTATGCTATGATTTTGCTATTCACTAACAGAATCGCTTGGGGTTTTTCTGCAAAATCTGGGTATTCAGCGAATTTTGTCTTTTAGGGTCAAAGAATCAATCACAAATCATTGTTGGAAAACATCCTAGCAAATTGCTCTGTGAAATGCATAGTACAAGTTTCAGAATGACAGAATAAAGTTTTAATGGGATTGGTACGGTGTCGGTCGAAAAACCTACCCTAAAGGCAATCCGTGAGAGTGAATGTTGAAGTGAATTAACACTTGAATAATTGAATGATTGAATAAATGAATAATTGAATGATTGAATAAATGAATAGTTGAATAGGTGAGTAATTGAACGATTGAAGAATTGAATAATTGAACAGCTGAATAATTTAATAATTTAATAGTTCAATAGTTCAGTGATTGAATAATTGAATAGTTGAATAATTGAATGGTTGAGTAGTTGAAGAGCAGAACAGTTGAATAGCGGTAGGGCAGTATAGCTGAATAGTTATAATAATTGAATTCAACTTTTGACTGCTACACTACTCATGCTGAGAAAAGGTTGAGCAGTACTGTACGTTACGGATGTCGGTTTCTATTAGGAGCAAATGCTAAAACAGATATTTATTTTGTAAGCTGCGGATTCTTTTTTAGATGGCAGTTTTTTAGAGTACCCCAACTGAAATGTATACAAGTATCGAGCAAAAAGTACGTCTATTTTGTTTTTAGAAACTAGTTGTTCGAAAATGTCTAGTCTCTACATTTCTTTGTTAAAGTTTTAGACTGTCAAATAAATTCAAGAGTTTGATAAAACGGATAAACGGTTGATTTCTAGATCTAAATTAAAGACGTTAATCACCCGTCGATATCACATTTAATGTCACTTTTCATATGCCAGTATACAGAATTCATCTAAATTTTACAGTGTAAATGTTTCATGTCACTGAAAACATTTACACTGTAAAATTTAGATGAATTCTGTATACTGGCATATGAAAAGTGACATTAAATTGACATTAAATTCTTCGATGTGACTTTTTCTTGGTTAGAGTTTAATATGTCACTTGACTAGTTTAAAATATATAGTTAGAAATAAATTGTTCGTCAAAGGCCATAACTGTAGCTCAATAAATGTTCAAAACACGAACAGAAAATAGTTTGGCTTCTAGGAAGGTTTCGCAGAAACCGTCGGAACTAACTGAATATATTTTATTGATTTTACATATAGAATCAGAATTTGCAGATAAAATACAGTACTTGCTGACATTTTGAAGCAGGTTGAACAGATTTTGACTCAGTCCATCAGAGATACAGTGGCCGCTGATCCCCATCATAATGGCTGCGGTTGTATCGATTAAAGCCAATATCGATGAATGCCTGTTTGCGATTATTAGAAATAAGTTTCGACAACAAGCGATCAACTTCTCAACAGGGAAACTTCTTTGATCGTTATGAGACCATGTGAACCTCTGAGTATCTGTCGACTATTTAGTGACTTACTGACAACAAAGCCTCGCACATATTCGATTTCTTAGTCGTCAATATAGATCGCGGCAGTGGGAAACTTTTGGGAAAAGAGACAATCACAGTTAAGTCATCCGCAAAAAGATGCTTCCAATGGAGATTAGAAATTGAATTTAACAAATCAAAGTGAAATACGATAAATAATATCGGACCTATACACAATCCTTGGGGAACACCCTTAAACAGAGAGAAAATAGCTGATTTAAAATTGTTGATTTTAATATAGGCTGTTCGCCCTGATAAATATTTACGTAACCAAGCAATCATGTATAAAGGACACCCCATACGTTCGAGCTTGAGCCACAGTCCCTTATACCAGAGCTGGTTGAAAGCAGTTTTAAAGTCGACATATAACGCGGCCGCTGCTGTATTCAAAGATAAATTTTGATCAATTTGATCAATAATAGCAACAAGACGAACAGCCATATTGTGACCTGGGCGAAAACCGGTTTGTTCGTCGGGTAGAATCCCAGAATCATGAACCCACTGGCGAAAGTGAATAAGAAATATTTTTTCATACAATTTAGAGAAACATGGAAGCAAAGAAATAGGACGTATGTCGTTGACATTTACAACGTTGCTTTTTGTTTTAGGCAATAAAATAATTCGTGCTGTTAACCAATGAGTAGGAAAAACTAGGTGCGACGCGAAGAAAATAAAAGAAAGATAGATAAGTGGAAAATGAGATTGTGGTAACAATTTAATCATTCTATTAGACACTCCATCTAAACCAGATGAATTTTTATTTTTAACTGACGAAATTGCACTTCTAATATGTTTAACAGTAATAGGAAAACTATTTGGAGGACAATTTTGAATTTCATACTCCAATTTCTGATCCACAATGTCTGCTTCCATTTCCACTGCCGAGCCAGTGTCAACATGAGCAGAAAATTGCTCTTCATAAAAGTTTTTTGCGAACTCACACATCTCCGTAGACGAGGCGATGACCCTGTTATTTGATAAGAAACCTTGAATAGGTGGTGATGAGGCGGAGAAATGCCTTTTTGCCTTTTTCCAAAAACATTTTATATCGCAATCGCTAAGTGTTTTGCAATAATCGCTCCACGATTTTCTTCTATGAATAAATAGTTCACTCTTTATTATCTTAGTATATATTCTTAACTGACTGATAAAAAATGGATGTCTTGTTCTTCGAGCAAGACTTAAATAAAATTGTTTTTCTTTTATAAGATTTACGACGTGAGGAGGTATAGATGGCCTGTTCGCATTACAGTAAGAAACAAAAGTTAAACGTGACGAAGCTAAAGACAGAAAGCGTTCATATAACCAAAAAAATTTAACCTTATCTATCATTTTTGAGCACAGATCATTCCAAAACGTCGAGGTAAAAGTCAGAAAAAGCTCAAACAACGACCAATACGTTCGCTTCACCGGATAAAATCTATCTTTTTTTAATAATTCAATTTTTGATGTCCATACAACAGGAAAATGATCGCTACCTATAGAGGGAAGAACTGAGAAAGAACACGGAAACATGGACGAAGGTACAAAGATAAGATCTATCGTTCCATTTGGTCTAGTAGAGGTTGGAATATGTTTATTAATAATTTCAAAGGAGTTAACAGAAAGCCAATTAGCAAGTATACGACCATTTTGGTTATCAACAGATTTAGACCAGGAAGAATGATTTGCATTTAAGTCACCAAGAAAGACAGTTTTAGGATGACGTTGCAAAACTTCGTTAAAAAGAAATATTGGAAGAGTCTCACTTGGTGGAGAGTAACATGTTACTAATTGAAACTTATCAAAAGATGACCCTATTATCCAAAACAATAACATTTAAAAATTTCACAGCACATCGTTCAATGTGCCCGCTGAAGTCCATTCAAAAATAAGTTTTTGAAAAATTTTTACTTGATTATTTGATAAATGATCCGCTTGAATAACTGGTGGTTCACTCTGGAGTGGTTTAAATTCTTTAGCACCCGGGTTCATGTCGCTAATGAATTAATATTTTCATCATCTGATCGTTGAACATTTACATTCTCATTTCCATTACTAAATTGACTAATGTTAATTTTCCCCATATAGCTCATTAGCTTATTGTATAGCGGAGTTATCTTTTGTTTATTTTGACCTTTGACTTGACCATGTATGATATTCGAAATTTCTCTAATCAATGGACATAGAATATCATTAATAAGGTTCACATGATTTTTCATTTTTTCATTCAACACCATTAATTGTTCATGAAGATCTTTCTGATTCTGCATAATTGCCATTGTTGTATCGTTTATTTTTTCAATCATACCCCTTTCTTCCTTTCCATACTTTGTATTTTGATCCATCGACGGTGTCCTTGGGGCATCACCAAAAAGTAATCGACCGGGCATATTAACCCAAACACCTTGCTGTTGTCGTACTGAAGACTGATTATCGTTGGAGGGTTTATTTTGTTGAATCTTTACTTGACGTCTTTCAATTTTTACTGGACAAGTTGGATTACTTGCCATATGTCCCCCTTGACAATGTGCACATCGTATTTCATTTTTACAATTTCGATCGTAAATATGGTTCTGTCCACATTTGAAACATATGGGATTTTCTTTATTTGGACAGTAACAGCTATGTGATCATCATATGCTTGACAAACATAACAACGTAAAATACGAATTGGTGGCACATAAGGTTCAATCTGGTACGACGTATAGTCATCATCCAATAATATACGTTTCATTTTAAGTATTTCAGTTAATTCTTTGTTGGATGAAAATCCACACGGACTTTAGAAATTGGTCAACCTCCCTTGATAAAAAGCCTTTCAGCTCTAACAATTGTTGAATACCTTTGTTTAAGTTCTTCCCCAAAAACAACAGCATTCCATTGAGTCGGAACATTTTTAACAACGATAGAATATGAAAAAGGAATTTTTCTTGGCAGTTCAACTAAATATTGACTGTAACAAATTCTATCCGGCCAACGTTCTTCAACAAAGAATAAGTGAAAATACAAATAATAATCAATATGCAACTCCGTCTTATTTCAACGCAAATCGGATTTATCGTAAATATGGAAATGAGTTATCGGGTCAAAAAAAACAACAGCGTGTGTCTTTTCCCCCTTTTTATATCAAATTTAAAGAGGAAAATAAATTTCCACATAATGACGTCAGTATCATTATGTATGGTCGAGGACAATATGTAGCAAGACGACGTTTACTCTTTCGATTTTTTACTATTTTGTCTATCTTTCTCACTCATTCATGTAGACAAACCTATTAGAAGGCCATGGTCTTCTAATAGGGCGTTTGAACTTTTGTCCGAACATGGCCTTATACAGGGGGTGGCCTTCTAATATAGGGTGGCCGTCTATTTGGGGGGGGGGGGGTTGTGGTATTTGGG